GTTCTTATGTTCTTATGTTCATACCAGCAATGTGGGTAGGGACCCAGGTCATTCCCATAGTAACGATGCTTCACTGAATATGACAACTGGTTCAACCATTTTGCATGTAATGATGTGTGTAATGAACTAATGCCTAGATGTTTTGGGCAGTAAGACTATTTAACAGTACCAGAACAATACATTTTGACCAACATGTCATAAACAATTGATAATGTAGGAATTAGCAGATGATTGTACCTAATCATTTGCATGACTGTGCCAAAGCATTTGCAATTTGACCAAAAGAATGAGACTTTGCATTTATGATGTGCACAAGTGACTCGATGTGGAGGTTGTACAAGTAGTTATAATAATTTTATTTCTGATCTGAGAAATGTACCAAAGCGACTAAGAAAAACCGTAACAAGACAATGCTATATCCCTGCATATTCCGTAAGGACAGGGGAACAGCACCCTCATAAGTCTGTGTTTCTACACGGATTATTTTCCCCCAAGAACACAAAATGGCGGTTTCCTTCCTCAGGATCGGTCGAGCTGGCTCGCTTAAGGTAAATAAATTCTTCATCAAGGTCACTAATTATCAAATAAATACCACGTTCTTAGGCTCCACATATTTCTTTTAAACAGTTTGGTTTTACATTACGATATTGATAAACATACAACGTGCTGGATCTTTGCTGAAGGTAACCATGATACTGATCTGTTCGTTCGAAATCTGCATGTGTTCTTTCATATATTAAAACGGCCAGGTTACTATGTTGTATAGTGCGTGTCTTGTCAGTTACTGCGCTACATTGATAGCCTGCTTAGTTTTCATTCGTCTTAATATTCCTCCGGGACTTGGACTAAAAAATCATAATTAGGAATGAAATACATGCAGAAGTTACACATTGTGAATTCTGTAGCACTTGCGCCGGCGCCTCTGACCAGCTGCGCCCTTTCACCACGCTCTTTTTCTAGAGACATAAAAAAAAATTTTTTTTAAATGATTTGCTTAAGCAGTATTTCTAATTCTTAGAAATGGCTTGAGAGTCGGGGTTCACTGACGTCAGCTCCCTTTGCTGCCCTTTGTACGAAACCTGGGGATCCCAAAAAACCTGCGAAACAGACCAGCACAAGTAAGTGTTAATCTCAATTAACTTCATTGTTTGTCACCCTCACATGTTCTATATTTACCCTGGATTACTGCTGGATTAAGGTGGAGGTAAAGACCACATTAATTAAACTACAAATGAGGATTGAGAATGCTAATTCTAATGGTTTTCAAAATTCAAAAGTAGACTATTAATGTATTTTACCAAGTGTGATTTTACTACAAATAGCCTCAACCCTAAATGCAAGCACAGGAAGTCATTAGTTAGAATCGTTCAGAAGTGATCATTTGATTCAAGAAGATTTACTTGGATGTGTTTGACAGGTGCCTTGGTATGTTCATTCCACCAGACCTATTACAGAACAGCTAACCGTATACCAGTAAACAATAGATAATGGGTGTGCAGTGAAAAAAGTAACACATAAACATTACTATTTATATAGCGAATAGATATAAGTAGGGATATAAATTCTGGGAATTTTCAGAGGAGGAAATGTTACATGGGAAGTTTTAGGAATTATTTGGGAAATGTTATGTTTCTGTGTATATATGGCTGTCAAACATCCAAAAACAAAGTATAGTTAAAAAAAAAAAAATAAATGAAATTTTGAAGAATAATAAACTTCAATAAACATGAACACATTCCCCTTGTTTACATTATTGAACACACACAATGTGTGAGGCATGATGATTGGTGATGAAAGTAAAATTTGCTTACAGTCATTAATGCGCAATTAAACGGAGTCAGAATCTGCACCCTCTGAGTCACTGTCCGCTTCACCTGAGATGGTGGATGTTGGGGTTCAGTCTAAAAGAGCCTCAGGTTTACCTGAATTGCCGGCAGTTTCTCTACTTGTACATTTGTGTGACTTCTGCAGATTTTTGTGTGCCTATTTCCAAAGAGAGACTAATTACACTCTGAGGCGGTTGATTTTAAGAGGTTTTGTAAGATTACTTCTGCTGCTGGTAATAGGGCCTTGGATGCCCAATGACCCAAACATTAGGGCAATGCCAAGAATAAATTTTACTGAAACATCAGTGACATCAATGTAACTCATCCTTTAGTTCATTTGATGGATTCCTTGAGGGGTAGCTGATTAATTCTCTGAACATTTATACATCCACGTTTACAGCTTAATTTTATATTTTAAACAATAACAAAAATATTAACTTACCACAGCTTGTAAATCAGACGATGAAGAGTGAAATGATTCTGAAGAGGCACCAGAACAAAAAACTGCATTGCAATTAAAATACATGCAATGTAGGTAAAATTGCAATATCAGTAATTTTTGCCAAAGTTTTACGATAGTTTGAAAACAAAACGTACCAACAAACCCCATCCTCTGATCTGTCTTCAGAGATCACTTATCCAGTCAGGGACTGGGTGATGCAGAGCTTCCCCCAGGAAGCAGCAGGTACCAGGCAGTGTACATCCTCAACAGGATGCCAGTCTGTAGTAGCGCATTCATCCTGAGATTCAGTGTAGCTCTGAGACTCCTGAGTACTGCTACAGCATGACATTGAACTGTGTGGGAACTGGAAATCCAGAGGAAACGCTCAAAGATTTGGAGGAGAAGTGGAGACGAGCATTCATAGAGCTGAGACAGGGGTCTTTGCGCGTGGTCGTTTGGGGCAACAGAGTAACTGCTGACCTTAGGACTGGGATTATGGTGCTGTGCAGATGGAGTAACCCTAACCCTACACCCCCCCCCCCCAAAAAAAAGAAAAACATGATCTACTTAAAGTCGTTAATGTAGTTAAACAGAGTCAGAATCTGTTGTCCATTGTGAAAGCAGAATGTGTCTCTATCTGTGTGTTCCTTAATGATAGGCTTGCCATGAGGGGGGATTCTCCTGATGATTCTCAGTATGAATTGATAAATCACTTGAATTAATAGATTTAATCTTTTTCACCCCCTCATCTGTCCTAGAAAAGGAAAAAACTGCCATTGACAAAAGTCTGGTCCTGCAGCATCACATGAGTGTGGAATTCTTTGGCTTTACACCCAGTCTGAATTTTCATTGATCATTAATCATTAAGACTCTGCTTTATTAACACTCTGTCCTGGGGGAGAAGGCACCCGCTTCCATCCCTCCTTCCTCCTGTAGTCCTCCATCCCTCTTTCCTTCCCTTGTCCTCTATCCCTATTCATCTGGCTCTTTGGAGATAATTGCCAATCTTTCTAAAAAAAAACACGTGGTGCAAACTGGGCTACCTTGGAGTCTGCAGAAGATGGGCATCTCCACTTCTGGTCAGTCAAGAAGATATTGATGACAAACTGATCCTCATGTGTTCATTAATTGAAAAGCCTGTGCACTGAGATGAGCAGGGAGATGAAGGATTTATAATAAGTGTTTTGCTTGGACCAGCTGCTCGGCTACATATCGTCCTTCATTCTCCGTTCCTTTACTCCCTTCCTCACTTTGGTTATTTGAAGTGGATGATGTGAATAACTGGCTGGTTGACACATTAGATTTCTTCTGTTAAGTAATTATGTCTCTTGCTGTGTTTTGTCCCTTGGTGTTATGCGCCTTGCAACCAACAAAGAATGAATTTTCTCCAAAATCTCAAGCTGAGAAGTGCAAACAAAAAATCTAAACATTTAATAGTGGCATGAGCCAAATCCACAGGCTTGGGTCATGTGCAGGATCTGGTGTCACTGTCCAGTGCAGGTTTCTATTCCCGCTGGCTTCCTGTTCTACCCTCCAGTTGGACCTGGTGGTACATTCTTTACCTGGGTGTGTTTGTGCATAGGCGTCTGAGGATTCCCTCCTCCCTCCTTGAGTTGGGGCTCTTGCTGGATTTGTACACTTAAGTTGCAGCCCACCAAATACATGGAGAATAACTTGTATTCTGTATCTCAGCTCAAGTGGACCCAATCCAGAAACTGTTCATCGACAAGATTCGCGAGTATTCATCCAAGAGCAAGTATGTTGGTTCAGTCTTGCCCACAATTATACATAAAAGGCTTTTTCCTATTTGCTTGTCTTCAACCAGTTTGTCAAAAACGGCACCCTTTTGAGTTAAGACTTTTTTTCCCCCTTATATGCTAGTTCAAATGTTTGTTTAGCTATGGACTCTTGTGCTGTGTTGCATTTGTCTGTTAGTGATCCGCATTACATATCAGACCCATGGTATGCAAATTCCTGCTTTTGCCTTAACTGTCACCTTTGCCCTTTTGCTTTTACCAGCCACTCCTGTTAACCCCTTTCTCCTCCCCCAAGGTCGGCTGGCGTCCTGGTCGATGCTGGCCCTGAATATGAGCGCAACTTGGCTGAAGAAATCAACAGGCTGCAGCGGCTCTATGGTGGTGGTGACCTCACCAAATTCCCAGACTTCAAGTTTCCTGGTGAGCTGGCAGCTGGCTAGGGGCAGACGAGGAGCCAAACTTGTGTGAACTACAGGCAATTTGATTACATTGCGATTTTTTTTGAGGGAACTATTCAATGTATTGCAAATTTCTTTCACGATTTGATTCGATTAATCAATCATTTAATATGTTTTATAAGCTAAATTCACATTTTTTTTTAACTTGACCAAGTAACTACGAATATTTAATTACACATTACTAACAAAATACAAAGAAAGTAGAGTCTTGTTAAATGGGGAAAAGACAGCAGTGTAAAAGTGTGAAGAAGGCCCGGGTACTGAACTGTACAGAAGAAGCAAACCCATTAAAGGAAGTGCTGGGTGGGGGGGTTGGAGGCGTGTAGCCATCAGTGAAACTTGCCGACGCAAATTAGCAGAATAATGTTACATTGTTTTTTTTAATTCTGTGAAAAACACAAAATCGACCTGCTGCGGCTACATTTCATAATTTATAAATGTTAGCCAGGTTGGTACTTTGAGACGTTTTTATGAGGAATGAGAGAATGAGCTGAGGATCTCCACTATGGAAAATGGCTGACTGGTCAGTCATCTCTGTCATTTTAGCAGTTTTTAGCTCTGGGCTCTGCTGCTAACACCACCTTAATAATTGGCTCTTCACGATTCATCTTTACACTCCTACTGTGTGTACTTCTTACGTTTTTAAGTTTTTTTTTCTTCTTCGTCTTCTTCTGACAGTGTGAGTGGAGTCACTTTCAGGGGCTCAGTAGGCAAATAAATTACGATTCACTTACCACTCAGTCATTTTTTTTCCCTGTTCTCTGCTTTCAGAACCCAAGCTGGAAGAAGTGTCCACCAAGTGAACATGCACTGGCTGTGCCATCACCTCCATGACCTGATCACTTAATACCTAATAACTGAAATGTAAATGCAGTGTTAATACCCCCCCACACCTTCAGTCAGCATAAGAAAACAATAACATACAATAACACAGTTATATAAGAGATACTTGATTGATCCCTGGATGAAATTATTTTGTATAAAAATATTTTGTATAAAGCAGAGGGGTATATAATGTGCACAGATATAAACACGGCGCAGAGATAGCATATGTAATGCAAGTAATATTTTGCAGAGAAATAAATATGCCAGTGTGGTATTAACCTGTTAAGTGAAAATGTAAGGAGAAGATTGAAATATAAATGTGTGTGTGCGCGTGTGCGTGTGCGTGTGTGTGTGTGTGTGTGCGCGCGCATCCCATGCTCCCCCATGTCACGTGGGCATCCACCCGCAGTGCGGAAACATACAGAACTCTGGGATCATCATGCAGTACATGATGAGGACTTGGTTAATAATATATTGACATTTTGAATTTACTTGAGTTGTTTGAGGAAGCTACGCGAGAAATTGATCACAAAAAGGCCTACGATGTGATCTACTTAGATTTCCAGAAGGCCTTTGATATTGTCCCCCACAAACGGCTCTTGCTTAAGCTCAAAGCTGCAGGGATTTTAGGAACTGTAGCAGCTTGGATCGAAAACTGGTTAACTGACAGGAAGCAGCAAGTAGTTATTAGAGGCACAATGTCACAGTGGGCCTGCGTTCATAGTGGGGTACCGCAGGGTTAAATTTTAGGACCACTATTGTTCCTAATTTACATTAATGATATTGACACCAATACATACAGTAAACTGGTTAAATTTGCAGACAATACCAAGGTGGGTGGTGTAGCAGATGCTGATATAGCAGCGGAGAGGCTACAACAGAATCTGGATTTAATTAGCGAATGGGCTGATACTTGGCAGATGAAATTTAACACAGATAAATGTAAGGTAATCCATGCAGGGAGCAGAAATATAAAGTACAGATATTTTATGGGTTCCACTGAAATAAAGGTAGCTGATTACGAGAAAGACCTCGGTGTGTATGTGTTACATGTCCCACTCTCACCAATGTGGGGAAGCAATAAAAAAGGCCAATAGAATGTTGGGTTATATCTCTAGGTATGTGGAGTTTAAGTCAAGGGAGATGATGTTACATTTATATAATTCCTTGGTAAGACCCCACCTAAAATACTGTGTGCAGGTTTGGTCACCATACCTCAAGAAGGACATTGCTGCCTTGGAAAAGGTGCAACGGAGGGCTATGAGAATGATTCCTGGTCTTAGAGGAATGTCTTACGAGGAGAGGTTAGCTGAGCTGAATCTGTTTAGCCTCAAGCAAAGCAGACTAAGGGGGGGACATGATCCAGGTATATAAGATTCTAACAGGTCTGGATGCTGTTCAGCCAAATGGCTATTTCAATATTAGTTTAAATACTAGAACTCGTGGCCATAAGTGGAAAGTAGCGGGAGAACATTTTAAAACGAATTTGAGGAAGCACTTCTTTACACAGCATGTAGTTAGAGTATGGAATGGTCTTCCTGTTCAAGTAGTGCAGGCTAAAACCCTGGGTTCCTTTAAATCAGAGCTAGATAAGATTTTAACAACTTTGAGCTATTAGTTCAGTTCTCCCCAAACGAGCTTGATGGGCCGAATGGCCTCCTCTCGTTTGTAAATTTCTTATGTTCTTATTTGCGATGCCTGCAGATGGTTATGAATGCTGTCTTCCACTTGTCCCCCTCCTGGGTGTGGATCAGGTTATATGCACTGCACAGGTACAACTTTGTAAAATACTGGGCTGTTGAAATTGGCTCCAACCCAGCAGGAATGAGAAGCAGGGAGAAGCTGAACTTGATAATCACTTTGTTTATGATTCTATCATCGATGCATGGATGAAGTTCACCATCTTTCTTTTCTATAAAGATGGAGCTGGAGGCAACCGGGGTGGTGGTTGGCTGGAAAAAAATCACAATTGCGGTACTTCATACTGTTCCATTGCCCAGAAAAACTCAGCTGTTGGCAAGTGGTAATCTGGGAAGCAGGTCCTTTGTGCAGTCCCAAGGGGATGATGGGGTGGAAGTTTATTGATGTTCCCTTTATGGAAAACATCCAGAAAATCTCAGTATTCAGAGGAAGTTTATACCTCCTGAGTAGTTTTTGACCTTTTAACAGTGGTAGACAGTATGGGGAGTTGGGAGCAGTAAATGAAACAGGCACTTAAATGCTAAGAATTTGTGAATAAACCCTGCTGTTCTCTGTATATCAGCACTTTGGCACAGATCTTCCTCACTTGCAATCCATCTACGTCTCCTGCTACCAGAAGAGGGACGAATCTATCATCAGGGATGCCAGCCGCCAAGCTCATGTCCTCTTCGCGCACCTGCACCCCCCCCCCCCCCCCTCAAACACACATTTTAGTGTACATTTTTAAAATTCCACTACTACACTATTATTATGTACTGTACTGCCTCTGTGGCTACTGGTACATCCTTCCCCACCTACTTATTGCATATTAATTGCATATTGTTAGCAAAGAGTCAGCTTATACACCATTTTGCACTTCCTTCCTTTTGTCTCCTATTACGCTGCTGTTTGTCCTGTAATTTACTGTCGTGTTGTCTGACTTCTAGCTTTCGTTGTACTGTGAAAGCAAGTTGCTCTTGTTTCCATGTTGACTCCGCTCCATTTGCTAACAGGGTAGGAACTCTTCTTAAATTATCCACTCTGTCATTCGGAACAATAATAATCGGAGGACAAACATGGCGGCCCTCTTACTTCGGCTCGGACGGGCTGGGTCACTCAAGGTAATAAATATTATATGATTAACTAATAATTAAATGAATTACAGTGCTTTCGAGTATTGCTGTTTTCTTGTTAGGGTGAATAAATAAAATTTAGCAGCCTTGTTTCTTTGGAGATTTCGTATTCTGGCTCTGAAACTGACGTCATTACCTTTCGAGGAAAGCGATAAAAAAATATTTTCTATACGTTCTTTTTCAAACTGTATGTCTGCGTGCTGAAATAGACAGTAGTTATCCATGATAGATTACCAATTCTGGCTTAGCAGAGTCAATGATTATATGCCATAATACAAACGACAATTTTACATAAAGGTAAATTATCTTTGTAACTAATTTATAATAATCTCACTACTTCAAGTACTTGTTACCACCAGTAATGCTGGTATCGTCTGTCATTGTGTGCATTCTTACGGGATGTTGCAGTGTTTCCAGCGGGAGAGCTGGGCCGCTTTCCAAAGGACTCCAGCGATAACTTTTGCCACTAACGTGGAAGAGCCCAAGAAATCCGGAAAGAAGCCTAAAGCTGCTAGTAAGGCGGTTATTTTTAGTTTGTTTTGTGATTGGTGGTGTCTGTCACATAATTTGACACGGGGAGAACATATAAACACTGTGTCCCATTTCCACTGGTTTATCTAACAGATGCTTTTGTCCAAAACAACATACAAGTGATGAAGTGATGTAGATAAGGCATAACAAGCAATGATAGATTTTTGCATTTCCATACTAATCAAAATGCATGTTCTCTCCCTCTTTGTTAGTGAACATTATGTTTTATTTTTTAGGAGTCCAATGTAGGGTTTCCCAACCACTGGTTTGCAGCCAGTATTCCAAGTATTTCAACAGGCCGTGGAACTCTGGGGATTTTGCTGAGGGATTGGCTAATTTACAAAAATAAACTATACATTTTATTTATTTTATTTCACATCTGAAAATGTGGAAACAGGTAAACTTGTGAAATTGTGGATCAATCCACCAGCAGCCCTGCCCCCGGGCTTTATTACCATTCCATGCAATTTTTATATCATGGCAGTCGGTCTGCGAAAATCAAAAGGTTGGGAACCCCAACCCTAAAGCACCTTAACCAAACTGAATTTTCCCTCTGGGGATGGGGAACATATATGTCATGCCATGGAGAGAGCCTGCCCTGTCCACATTAAATATAAAAACTGACTGGACAAACTATCATGCTGTTGTCTCCTGTCTATCTTAGAGGGCGTTGATGAGCAGGGTTCCCAGCTTGCCTCCAAGACATTGGTGGCTTTTCCCCGTAAGGTTGTCCTACCTGCAGTGCCTCCAGTGGAGGCTTTAGGTAGCTCTTCCACAGGTCAGGGGTCTGCTGCCACCCACCAGGCTGATTACCCATCCACAAGTACAGCTTCTGTCATCGGTGAAACTGTGACTTCAGAATCTGCTCGTCTGGCTAAAGCAGAGACCATCACCAGTGCTGGTGCCTCTGAACCAGGCATTGTCACAAAGTCCACTGGCACTACAATAACAGAACCAATTTCTAAAGCTACGCTCAATGAAGATGGAACCTCCGGAAGCTCCTCTTCCTCCAGTGACTCTGACTCTGACTCTGAATCTGATGATGAGAAGGGGGAGAAGGCCAAACCACGGGCAGATCCCACAAAGAAGCCAGAAGGGGGTGTTTCAGCTCCTAGTGATGCTGTCAGTGGTGATGAGGCTCATAGCCCAGGTCCTTCTCAAAGCATTCGCAGCTCTACTGCTGCAGATGTGTCGCCTGATATTACCCCTGAAACCTCTTCAGAATTTCCACTGACAGCTGCCAGTACTGTCACCAGCAAAGCCCAGTCAGAAGAAGCCTCTGCTGTACCTCTGTCCAATGTCAAGGTCACAGAAGAAAAGTCTTCCAAAAGTGGTGTGAAAGAAGCTATACCTTCCAGTCCATTTGAATGGGAAACTGCAGCCTCTGCTGATGAACAAACAACTGCTATGAGCTCCAAGAAGTTGGGTGATTCAGTCGCAGTGGTAGCAACCCCCAAAGATCCTGCTGCCCCAGGAGAGGGCAAAAGAGCTGCCCCTGAAGCTACCCTAAGATCGGGCAAAGGAGCCGCCCCAGGAGAGGGCAAAGGAGCTGCCCCTGAAGCCGCCCCAGGAGAGGGCAAAGGAGCCGCCCCAGGAGAGGGCAAAGGAGCCGCCCCAGGAGAGGGC